AAAAGCATCAAGTGTCCATACTGAGCCTTTCAGTCATCGCTGGGGACTTTCTCAGCCTGTCACTGTTGACACTTACTGTATGCATCACTGATACCCACCCTGCAGCGGAAAATAAATAGCCTGTCATCAGATCACTCCTGCTTTGCAATATTACAATTATCTTGGCAATGTAATTTTGTTTTTTTAGAGCAGACATTTGTTTTGTGTCTCTGTTTTGTTTTTATTATTCAGTTGGTTACTTAAAATATTCCACTCTTAGCACAATTACAGTGGAACATCACTCAGTTCTCACAAACATCAAACACGCTCACTGTACGGTGTGATGTGAGCCATGTCAAGATAAACAAACATGACATATTAAACAGGAAAATGAGTCACTCTTATTATCTCACCAAAATAAATCTGGAAAACACTAATTATAACAACCTGTGCCTGATCCTGACTGATTCACCCGTTCTCTGGCTGTCTGTGTATGTATGTATGTACAGTGTGTGTGTGTGTGTGTGTGTGTGTGTGTGTGTGTGTGTGTGTGTGTGTCTGTCACATTCTTCTCCTGCTGCTGCCTTAATAGGCAGTCTCTTAGATATTCGCTACAGAATTGCGCTCATGCAATATTAATATCACACCAAAATATGGAAGCCGTAGCCCCCACCCTATCTCTCACTCCCTACATAATTGACTATGCAAGGCTCCAAATCAGCTTGGAAAAAGAGAGAAAGACACAGAGAGATACAGCAGGGGAGAGAGAGACATGCAGAAACCAAGGGAAACAGAGAGAGAGAGGACTCCTGAAACAATCCTGTCATCTCTGCACTACAGCAGATTCTGAACCTTCACCCTATGTATCGCTGTCAAGCCAGTGGAGCTAAAACAACAACAACAATAACAACAACTACAATGGTGGCTCAAACACTTTGACTCCGGTTGGATAAGCATCAGCTTATCCAACCGGAGCTTAAACAAACCTCCACTCTGGCAGCTCTGAGAGACTTTGATTCATTGTATTTTATTATTGAATTTCATTGTATAGGTTCCTGTAGTTCCGTTACAGATGACAATAAAACTTTAACTTGAACACATGACACCATGCACTACTCAGTAAACCTCACTGATCCACCAGTGGATCAGTCATGCTGTGTAAAACTTTATAAAACCACATAAGGTTATAAAAGATTCTAATTATATTCTAAAGTTTCCAAAGATACTAAATGTGTATAAAATGATGCACAAGATATTTTTCCATTTGATGAAATGACCATTGAAACATAAAGTCTTATAGAAGACATGCATGGTACTTTTAGACTTAAAGCAACCATTTGGAATTTTTGACCATTAATAAATCAATGGAGCAATGTTTTATGAGTGGGTCCTCATTTTATTTGTTCTTGCGTATGCACACAAGCACCATGCACGAGCAAAAGAAATGCAGCAGAGGGTAAGGTAAACATTGATGTAAAGAATGTAGGTATCAAATGTTCAAAAAACCTGCAAATGTTTTATGATGCAGAAAATGCATCCAAAGTGTTTGTTAGACCCCAAGGATACACCCAATGCAATGTGTTGAAGAACACTGAATGGTATGGGAGGCAGTCAGCTTAGCTTTGCACAAAGACATAGGGGCAACAGCTAGCCTGGCCTATGGCAACCCTAAAGTTCATGATGTATCCATACACATCAGTAGTATAAAATGGCAATCAGTAGTTTTTTGAGGGACTTACTGTATGTGCCTAACTATTCCATGCTGAACAACAGCCCGGGTGCAGTGGCTTCTCAGTCTCTCCCTCTATAACCACCAATTTCTGCTTGTGTACAGATTAAACAAACAAGATATAACATGTTAAAAGTGGGGTAAGCGTCTCTAATCGAATACACGTCTTTTTGTCAAATTTAACTAATATTTCCTCAGGGTCCGCTAGCTAGTCTGATCTGTGTATGTGTGTGTGCTGAAAAAATATCCATTGTTTGTACACAGCTCTGGGTCTATAATTGGGAAACAAACAAAATGGCTCCCACCACACCACACAACACTATTCCAGTTATTCCAGCCATTATTTGTGAGTCAGGAAACTTTAAATAACTTGCCCACGAATATTCAGTCTACTTTCTACTTTGCCAAGACATGCTGCTGTTGTCATATCTATTGTAGAAGGACAGATGTGAGTGTCGCTGTTTGGAGTTGTTGTGCTGGCTCTGGGACCATCTTGTCCACTCTGCATGTTTGCTTTGCAGCAGCAACTGTAGCAACAGTTTGCTAACCCACAACTCAGCTAATGTTAGCTCCATAAGTTGCTTTGTCATTGTTCGCTCTATATCATGGTATTTGTCATAGCATTGGATTTCTCCAGAATCGCGTTGGAGGTGCTGGTTGGTGGATTTTTGAACATTGCATAGACCCAGGGAAGTTGTTTTCCCCTGCTTCCAGTCTTTATGCTAAGCTAGTCTAATTACCTCCCGGATCCAGCTCTGTACTTAACTTTTCCTTAAAGTACTTAGGTCAGTAAGAGCTTAATAGTCTTCGCTATTCATAAAATCCCATTGCCTAGCCCTATGGTATACGCTCATACTCACTGTACTCATGTGCCTGATGAACATTATGCACTGTGCACTTGTAACTTTAAAGAAGATTTCATATAAACCAACAAACACTGATTTAAAGAGTTACATTCTATTTTAGGGCAGAGATTCCCCTCAAAGCCCCCAATAAAACAAAAGCCCCCCCTATTTGTTTACATGCAGGGATGAAGAGATCTCTGCAGAGCAGTGGGGGTCACGCCCTCTGCACTGAGCATTTTAAAAAATGAACTGTAGGCATTTAGAGCCATAATTGATGTTGAAAGAAGGAAAAGAAAAAGGTTGCGGGGGCAGAGTCAGTGGTTGGGGGGAGGGGGAGGTGGGCAGTGCACCTTGACAGGAAACATAGAGGTGAAGAGCAGGAGTTGGAGGTTAGCTTGACAGAGAGAAAAGAAGTGATGGTTGGGGGGAGGTCTCTGCGGAAGTAGCAAGCCCACTTTTAACTGAACCGAGGATGGTGAGTGGTGGTGGCGTGAGGCAGGGGGAGACAGATAGAGATCAGGGGAAAATAAAAGGGGTGTGCAGGGGAAGGAAGAGGGGAGGAAGGAGAGGAGCTGGGAGGTGGGGGGGGGGGCAGGGACCTACTGCACCTTGACACTTGCTCTCACCACAGCACCTGATAAGTGCAATGGAAAAACGTCTGGTTTCCTCATGCATGTTAAGTGGTTTATATTCTCCTCCTCTCCATGCAGCCTGTAGCTACAGTCTGCTACTGTACTGACACTGCACCCAGATAATAACAGACAAAAGGAAATGACAGAAAACCATAGAATGAGTGAAAGAAATAGCATATATTGTCTCCATTTGTATTGTGGTTTTTTGGGGGGGAATGAATTCTAATCTGTGCGAGAGATGTGATCTTTCAATTGGTGCTGAACAAAACAAGTAGGCCTTTTAGAAATGTCCTTCCCTTACATTAATGTTTATCCATAACGTTATAACATGGCCTTCTTCATTCTATAAACAACGTCTGCATAGAGATTTAGATGCAGAGTTTAATTTGTGCAACAGAGGATCAGATGACAGTGGATATATATCTTTACTACCTCACGCATTAACTGACAAGGAACTCATTCTCATGATTTGTAAGTGGGTCTCTCCACAGAACAGCATTAACAATATTCACTTTAGATAACATATGATTCCAGGCCCTGGGAGAGGATGGGTTTCTTAGAAATGCTTTGTTAGCACTCTCCCCCTTGATAAATGATTGAGGACATGTGGCCTGAGACATCAATACAATCTCTGTTGTAATTAAAAAAGGTGCGCACCAACAATATTACACAGCTTTCGCTTTGTCTGTCTCTGTCTCTCTCTCACTCACTCCCTCTCTGTCTCTCCCTCGCTCACCCACTCTTCCTCTCATTGAGCCCTGGAGCAGAGAGGAGATAATTCAAAAAGCACTTGCATGGAGTGAAACATGAAAAAGGGAGACATATGAAATTAAATTCTCTCTTTTTCGCTCTATTGTTCTTTCATTTTCTCTCCTTTGTTACATAAATGCATAAAGGCAAGACAAGCTAGATTCTAATTATGATTTTCACAATACTAAAAGATTTCTTTTTTTACTAAAAAAATTAAAGAAAGGTGTCACAAACAAAGTAGACTTACTGTCCCAGCACTTTGTCAAAGTCAAACTACTGCAAGTGCTGCATCACTAAACTTCAATTAATATAATCTTTTTTTCTTTTTTCCAAACATCCTCATGAACAATTATATAATAAAATTGTTGAAAAATGTGACTTTGATGTCCCAATACAGATTCTTTGCAACAAAAGAAGTAGAATTAAAGGCAACAAATTTTTCTGCACTTTATCATCTTTGTCCTTCCTTCCTATTAAAAACCTAAAACAGGTCAGAAGCAGAAGCATTATATCCAGAAACCATTGCGTGCCATTGTTCTGTGTGAACACAAATACAGTAGGAGACGGTTGGGTAGCCTATCAGCTGCTGTGAGAAGCTACCAGGCAGATACCACACAAACCACTAAGTCAGGTGTGTGCTTTATTGGGAGCCTTGCAGTGGCCAATGATGGTTTAAGGATTGGAGACTGATCTATCAGGTCTATCAGAGTGAGTTTAACGATGTTGAACTTTGGGTTGTATTGTTTCCTGGCCATTATTTGAGTCCAGCTATTAGTTGTGGTCTTTAACAATTGTTTTTATGCAGAAGCTTTTGGACACTGGATCAAGAGCTTCCAGCTAATGTGCATCCATGGGGCACATACTTTAAAAAACGAAATATTTGAGCAATGATAAACTGCGAATTTCAACACTGCTTCTGAACTTCTATCCTGCGTTTGGACAGTCCTGCTGTGCATGTGGTGGAAGGCCTCTTACTGTATGGATAAGGGGTTAAATGTACGCATGTAGGTGTGGATGAGACCGACGGATGAGGCGGGACAGAAGCCTGGGAGAGATGAGTCTTACCCCAGTAGAGGGCAGTCTCTTGCCGTCAGGGTTTGGGCGCATGGGCAAGGAACTGTAGAGCCTCACACCTCGATCTGCAGCACCGTATCTGCTCTGGAGGAGGAGGAGAGAGAGAGAGAGAAAGTTTAAGTATATTTTCTTCCTTTTACAGAGAATTCAGTGTGAAACATGGATGAAACACTTCAAACATTCACACAAAAGTCCCAATAAAAAAAGTGAATCTAATTTGTTTCAAACTTATTTAGTTTTCAAACTTACTTAAGTTTTATTTTCACATCCAAAGTGCAGGGATCATTCATACTGTAGTTCTTCTCGTGGTCCTCACTTTGTGAGTGTTTCATACATCTCCACCATGTCTGACAGCCTGCACACTGGCTGCCATGTTAAATTACATCACCTCATGGTGAAGTACCACACATAATAACTGGATAAGGTTGGCTCAGTAGCGGCACTAATGGAACTAAGCTGTTGTGTTTGGTAGCCAGGGTTCCTGTGCTCTGCTCCACTGTACTCTACTGACTCCATCTTCCTATACATTACATAGCTGATAATTAGAGTGTAGTGGGTTGTAAGCCTCCGACACCTCCCTGTACTTCCCCATGTGGGTTTTAGCTGTATAACACAACCTGAAGGAGTGGTGGCAAAGCCCTCAGTAGTTGGGAAGCTAATGATTCGCAACATGTGGTCCCTGCCAGGGAAAGACGGTGCAGCTCAGTGGGGTTCACACCGTGGCCTACAGCCACAGCGGGGGTACATCCCAGGATTCACTTCAAATCTCACTTACTCTATTTCACTCCTTGTCTTTATCACTCTTCTCACTTCACTCTCAACAATACGCAACTCACTGCACCTCTGTGATTCCTTACATCTACATTTTTGTTCTGTAACATCTGGTCAACAGTTTGCATGTCGTTTCTGTCATCTGATTTGACAGGGAAAACCTATTGTGTGTGTCTTTGTCTTTGATCAAATGAGGTACATCTCTTTCTTTCTGGTGTTGGAGAGTCCATTTTAGCTTCTGTACGCTGTGTGCTGCTAAAATATAAGCTGCAACTGGTGATGTGGAAACTGGTTTCTCACAAATAAGAGGATAAAACATGAATTTAAAATAGGCAATGATTATGTTTGCTGCCTGCCATGTATATTGCTTACTGGCTTGGCCACACTTCATACATACAGTCTGCTAATGAGGATGTGATGTAGATTATTGAGGGAGAAAAAACACAGGGCAGGTATCTAGAACAAATATCACATAACCGCTCTCTCTCAAAATGTGTCTTTTACTTGCTTCACTCTGTCTTTTCCCTTGTTCTTTTTAGCATTCATGGTGTCACCTCGTCAACATACACACCCGAACAAAAAAAAAAATCACATGCACACAAAAACACCTAGACACGCATGTAATCACACGGACGCAAATATATTTAAGGGCAGGGCCTCAGATTGCTATGCAGTGAGAAATGCCGTGTTTGACTATATTTAACAACTGAGTGAGAAAACATCCCCGAAGCAACCAAAACTGGCCCTGCCTTTCACTTCTAGTCAGTCACGTGCACACATGAGCATAGCAGGCCTCAGCTTTTACAATGGAAGCGCCATAAATGCACCTTTGCAGACTGTGTTTATGGGCCTAAATGCATAGTGCATAGCTTATGCAACATACCGTGCATGAAACAAGAAATCAAATGGCGTAATCACAGACACTATACTGTGCAGGCTATCCCCTGAGGCAGAGTGAGAGTACTTGCTGTGTAAGGTTTTGATTTCCTGTGCTCATTATGAAAGGTGAAAACAGATGAGTAGACAGCAGTGGCCATCTTGTCGATATGGTTTGCGTAATGATGACACAGCATTATTAAAGAGAACTCTCATTTTCAACTTTCCACGGTGGTGCACCGTCCAAACAACCAACAACCAAAACCCACAAAAGCAACCCTTCTTTTTTTTGGTAACATGGATGTATTGTTTTCCTATAGTCAGAATTTGTGACGATGAAATTACTTTCTATAGCGATACACAGTAGGTCTGAGAGAGATTCTTTTTTTTGTCTGACATGACACCATGCGACTTTGGTCATAATCAGCAACCTGACCCAGTATGTTGTGTCCTCTAGTCAGACATTTCTTTTTCTTTCTACTTTGCTACTGTAAACTAACTGCACCTCTCAATGGAGACTTCTTTCTTTCATGGCTTGTTAGGTAGCTTGCCAGTATCTCGGATAAATGAATGCCTTGCAGAATAGCTGCTTTAGCCAGCGAAGGAGCCCCAGTAAGTGAATGTTTGATATTTCTCCAGTGTGCCAGGCTAATCTGGCCCTGTGGCATGCCATTACGGGGCTAATAACAGCTGTCTGCGGCCTGGAGGGGACACAAGCAGTCCTGGCTGCACTAACTGGCCCTGACAGACTCATTAGGAGTGCTGGCACCCAGAACAGCAACAGCCAAACTCCTCACATTTCCTTGCTGGCTCACAACAGTTTGCAAGTGCAAGAAGCATTGTTCTCTACACTTGTTCTCTGACACCTTTCTTTTGTTTTCTAGTCCTCACTTCACCCTTGTCACCTCTCTTTCACTTTCTGGCTGGCTTTGGGTTTCTACTAAACCAGATGCTACCTGCCGTTTACCATCTCTGCTCGACTCCATTACCACACTTTTTTTGTTTTATTTTTTTATCCCCTACACCTACACTCTGGTTCACTTGTTTCCTCCCGCTACCGTAAGCTTCTCTGACAACAGTAACAGTAAATTAATAAATACACGAATAAATAAATAAATAAATAAATGTCTTACAGTTTCTAACTAACTTTGGTGTGCAGCCACAGGAAGATGCTGCACCACACCAGGAAGAGACTGGCATCCTCTGAACTTTGTATCAGTTACTGTGGCTGGGCCCTGTTTGAGGACAAGAGGGACTTCCCCAGGCAGACAGCAAAAGCAAACATTGTCCTGTCGCTCAGTAGAGTCAAGCCAATCAGTACAAGCTGAACAGGCAAACAATAAACACAGAGCCAATGATGGTCGTCTGACTATAGAACCATTAACAATGGGGGGGAGGGATACAAGGCTGTGATATGCTTTCTCGCACGACACCTGCCATGTGACAAACTTGTTGGTACTGATTATACTGACTCACACAACAGTTTTGTATTGTGTTGAAAAAGTATATTCGCTAAGTTTGATTGAAATGTCACGCCAACACGTGATTTTATCGAGGCCACATGATACATTGGCTGATATTATTGACCAAGATTATTATTTATCATATATTTACTGTTACTGTCATCTTTGATATAACGATCATCCAACTGTAAAATCTCTTCACTCAGACATATCCTTATCACATAATGTTTCTTTGTGATTTTTATGTCAACATAAAAACATCAAAGGAGAAGAAAAAAGAATATCAGCTGATATTTTGTCATCGGATTTTGAAGAAATCTCAATATCCTGTAAAATCCATTATCTGTTAGGCTCTATCATCTTAATTTTGCTCCATATCAGCAGCCTAAAGCACAGAAGGCACTTCGATACATCTACTCATTAGATATCAGCGTTGGCTTTGCCCTTTTATTGGTGCGGGTGGTGGGGCACTGTAAAGCCAAAAGGCACAGCTGTGAGGGTATAGTTACCTGTAACGTTAGCTGTTGCATGTTATATTATTTACGCAGATCTGGTCTTAATGGAACACATGTGTGTCTGCAGCCAACATTCTTCCCAGATTAGCTTAAAAGGCCTGCACACATCAGACTCCACCGATGAGAGGAATGCAAGGCATAGACCGGCTTATGTGGAAACCCTATCACTCATCTATGGTATACAGTAATGTATGCATGCACACACACAATCATGCATGTACTACACACATACTGTATTTATACATTACGGAGACAGTGTTCCGTACTCTATGTACAGTATGCACTCAGCACTGCATGAACACTGACATTAGTAATATGATCAATCAATAACACAAAACATTAACCTTGTTCCAAATAGCCATCTAGTCCCTGCATTGTTTAATTCTGTTCCCTTAGATGCTGTTGTTCCTGAAATTTCAACTGTTAAAATACATTATCCTGTCAATTCTGTTGTGTAAACATATTGCATAATATCAGTCAGATTTCTAGCTGTGGTGGTCTGACAGTCAACAACAGAGTATGAATCACGTTTTCAGTGGTTTTTAGAGACTTTAGTCTGAGACAAAACTGACTACAGTGTGCAAATTTGGTTTGCATACTGCATTGTGATGAATAATTTTCTGTCATAGATTTTATACTGAATGTGATATAATTGTATTTTACGACACATGATTCAGATGTTGTGCTTTACATTCACAGGCTTTTTACATACATACTTAGCTTAGCTTCAGGTTGACATTTAAGCTGAATTTCCAGCTCAGTTTGGAAGGGTGTATAGTATGTACTTCAGTCCCACTAGGATTTTGAAATGACACATAAGGTTTCTTAACTTTATGAAAACAACTTTATTTTGCAGGGACTTGGGAAGGATTTTGTGACATCTTTTGTCAATTTATCCACAGTATCCCTGATACCATCTAGCCCCATAGACCTTCAACACACTCACATGTCAGTGGTGATTCTTTCAAAGGGAAGGGCAGATTTAAATTATACCAGTTTACCAGAAACTATGAGTTATGAACATGCATTATTATATGGCTCAAGGTTCAGGTATAGGACTGTGTTTAGACTCTATTGTCTCTCTCTAATCTTCCATTGCAGACTGAAGACTGTTATTTACGATGGTGTATTAGGGCCATTGTAGGTAAAAAAATTAATAAATAAAATAATTAAATTATGGAGCAGGGATATAGATAATATTCTGAGAAAAATTTCACAAATTTACAAGAAAAAAAATTAAATATTCTCTGAGATTAAAGTCACAAATGTATGAGGATGTTCAGATGTGCTTGTGTTATTAAGGGCTACTCAATAAAAAGAAGGTATTCAGAACAAGACATCACATATAAGCTACTTTCACCAGCCAGTATTATGCGATGCTTCTTTCTGTTCAAAGACCAAATAATTGAACGGCAGACATTTATAAATACTACTAAATATATAAAGACTACGATGTGAC